GCACCTATATGGAACGAAAGATGAGTGATCAGAGGATAGTATAGCATGTTCATTTTTAGCCGCTCGAAATAACGTTTTTATAAAAGTCTTTTTAAAAATTTAGATATGATTTTTATTTAGGTCTAGCAGCTGCTTGCAAAAAGCTAGCCTATCTTGCAGAAAAGCGATGCAATATGTAAGAATGTTGTTGGCACACTGAACAACAGTGCCCTGAACTAGTCTGACTGAAAATTTCGTTCAAAACGACGATTGGTCAACTAATAAATTATCACTAAAGATCATCATTAAAATCAGTTAATGTGGTGGCCACTAGAGAGTCTAAATTGTCTTGTGTTTGGTGACAACTGACGACCTGAATTTTGACCTTAGGGGAAAACTGGCATCGGAATCGTATTCTTCGATCAATTTGGGATTTAATGATACCTATTTTGTTCATATTGCGGACAGTCAGTTTGGAGGAATTTCTAGCGCTTTTCCGGGCTGCCGGCCTACAGTGCGGCGCGGGCGGGGGCCAGCGACTCCGTCCGGTGAGTCCGAGTCCGTGCATCGTCCACGGCAAGTGGTGTGACTGTTGGTTTGGTAACGTGTGGTTGCTTGGTCGCTTGTTGCTTGGTCTGTGACGCTGTTATTTACCGAGCATGTATGTGCCTTTTGTTCAACCGGAAATGCCATTGGTGGTAAAATGTGAGATGAGACTGATAGGAGGCAAAGAGGTGTCAATTAGGATCGATCACAAGTGTACATTATCAGGGGTGTAATTTTCCCAAAATGATTGTGGGTGCCCACTGCCCAGCTGTAGGGGCGCCAGGCCGCTTAGGGGACGTAGGGGCGCCAGAAGGTTACAAGAGCGCCGAGAGATCATGACAAGGGCGCCATTCCCCCAGAAGGGCGTCAAGTGATTAAAAATGCTATATTATCCAGGGGCGCAGAGAGGTCAGAAGGGCGCCGCACCGTCAGTAATGCTAAGTTGGTGGGGACGTAGGGGCGCCAGACGGTTACGAGGGCGCCGTGAGATCATGCAAAGGGCATGGTCTCACGGTCTCTCATAAAATAGGACATGGTCTCTCATAAAATTCTCCTAGAAGGGCGCCGGGTGATTGAAAACGCTATGTGGTCCATGGGCGCTGAGAGGCCAGAAGGGTGTCGAACAGTCAGTAGTGCTAAGTTGGCGGGGACATAGGGGCGCCAGACGGTTACGAGGGCGCCGTGAGACCATGAAAAGGGGCGCCATTCTCATAGAAAGGCGCCGAGTGATTGAAAACGCTATGTGGTCCAGGGGCGCTGAGAGGCCAGAAGGGTGTCGAACAGTCAGTAGTGCTAAGTTGGCGGGGACATAGGGGCGCCAGACGGTTACGAGGGCGCCGTGAGACCATGAAAAGGGGCGCCATTCTCATAGAAAGGCGCCGAGTGATTGAAAACGCTATGTGGTCCAGGGGCGCTGAGAGGCCAGAAGGGCGCCGAACAGTCGAGGGATGCACGGTGGACAGAGACATAAGGGCGCGAGACGGTCAGGAGGGCGCCGTTAGACCATGAGAAGGGTGCAGTGCTGTCAAAAGGGCGCCATTCTCCCAGAAGGGCGCCGAGTGATTAAAAACGCTATATTATCCAGGAACGCGAGGCGGTCAGGAGGACGCCGTTAGAGCATGCGAAGGGCGCCGTGCTCTCGAAAGGGCGCTTGTGACATAAGACTTGTGGGTGCATTTTCATCATTGTGGGGGCATATTTCAGGATTGTGGGTGCATCTGCCCCCACAAAGAGATATAAAATTACACCCTTGTACATAATCATGCTTGCTGAAGGCTGATGCTGCTTCCAATGTCATGAATAAACGCAACCGGTGAAAAAGTCAGTGGGGTGTAAAGAGGTAATATTGGCACGAGTCACGATTAATAACTAACTGTTCATAATGTTCAGAACGTCGAACTTCAACGGAAGTGAGCTGCAAAAACGAACTTCAACGGAAGTTAACTGCAAACATTTTACCAAGGTCAAAAAACGCAAGACAATGCATTTTCATTTACAACAGGTCGAATTCTATCGTAAATTTACTGTTTTTCGGCATTCTCGATTTTTTTCACACCAGGATAGGCAGTCGCTGTGGGGCCCCTTTTAGCTGACCTCCGGGCCCTTCTCAGCTGTCGCCCCCCCCCCCCTGAGCGAAATCCTGGATACGTGCCTGGGGCAGATGCACCCACAATCATGAATTATGCCCCCACAATGATGAAAATGCACCCACAAGTGTTTTACAAGCGTCCTTTCTAGAGCACAGCGCCCTTCGCATGCTCTATCGGCGTCCTCCGGACCGTCTCGCGTTCCTGGATTAGGTATGTAGGGGAGAGCGGGGCCAGTTGAAACACGGGGTCAGATGAAACATGGCTTTATTTTCAACAGTATGCAACATATGGCGTTGCCGACACCACTGCGCATCCGCGCTCGACCACTTCCTTTGCCAACGGCGTTTGGGCGGCAAACGGGCGGTAATTTTGATTTGACACTTGTTTTTGTGTTTTTGAGGGGCGTTTGGGAGACATCGTTCTAATGAATATTTTGTGATATCTCATATACCTTTGTTTGCTGAAAGAAGAACTTCTGGCTCCGGAATAACACCTTATTTGGCCCTTCATTCAGCATGATGCCGTCCCTCCAGCTCGTTTGACATGTGCTTTACGGCGCGTGCGAGATGGCGGGAGCGGCCATGGGGTCAATTGAAACGCTTCTCTGAGGGTCAGTTGAAACAGGGCCACAGGCCGTTTCAATGGACCCCGGTGACCTTTGCAATGGTTATTGTTCAGGGGCTGTAAACATTAAAGGAAGTAGTCCACCTTTGAAATGAGCTTTTAAACTGAAATAGTAGTTTAATAGAGCTCAATTTTTGACCCCTTTTTCTCCAGCCTTTTGCTTGAAAGCACACTATAGCCTGAGATATTTCTCATTTTTCTCATTTTTCTCATCCGAGAAATGGTTCGATTTCTTGCAATTTACTGACGTCTCGGCGGGAAAAGTCATTTAAATGACTTTTATGCGACCTTTCCTCGTTGAAATGTATGTTATGTCACGCTCGACTTGTTTAAGCACTCGTTTATAAATGAACTCGTTTCACTTGTTCATTTATAAACTCGTGCTTAAACAAGTCGAGCGAGACATAAAATACATTTAAACGAGGAGAAGGTCGCATAAAGTACTAATTAAACCAATTAATCTCTTTTTCAGGTACGTACAGGTCTCGCGGGTTTTAGCGGTAGGTTTTGCACCTAGAAAATTTAGTGTACTTCAGGCTATATCTTCGTCGTCTTAAGCTTTTAAGTGTTGAAGATGCGATCGACTTGTTGGGTAACAAGCCGGCCATGATCGTGTAAAATGGCTTCATCGTAGATCGATTAGTCTCTGAGATATAACCGAATGTAAAAGTGCAAAACCTACCGCTTAATCTCGCGAGACCTGTACCATTAGAGCAAATGGCTCCAAAAAAATGGAATAGTTATACAAACCAGGACCGGGTGCATAGGTGGAGCTTTTCCAGGGAAGTTGGTGGGGCAAAAAGTCGTCAAACCCACAATGTCCAATTATAAAGTTGAATAAAATTCCACACTGAATCAATTCCTATCATTACAGACATATTATTTTGCATTAAACGGACATTCCAAAGCTCTTCAATGCGAAAAAGATTAATTTGTAAAGCAACAAAGTCTTAGAAATCAGCTAAAGTTGGTGGGGCAAAACGCTTATTGGTGGGGCAAAATACCAAGTTGGTGGGGCAGCCGCCCCACCAACTGTATAGGAAGCTCCGCCCCTGACCGGCTGGACGCCGCAGTCGCCCTTGCCAAGTGGTTTAGCGGAAACTGCCTGCTTATAATTAAGTAGGTAGGTATATTGAACGTTCATTGTGACATGTATGACTAGATATCGGTATATATCGGCTGCCCAAAAGTATATATCGGTGAAACTTACAGAGGGCTTAAAACCAGAGTAACTGAACACAAGCGTGATTTGATAAATCATAATTTGTCTAACTCAATTACGTTACATGCCGAAACAGAGGGTCACCTACCTAAGTGGGATAAGGCCAGTGCGGTGAAATCAGGTCTGAAGAGATCGCACAGAAAAATTCTTGAGTCGGCATTAATTCAAAGTGTGTCATGTACGAACCATAAGGGGGGCTTTTACACCTTAGGAGGGGCGATTTGCGGTCTTGCATTCCAGAAGTATATAAAAACATTCTACCCGTGATAATGTGAGAAAAAATTGCAGAGTGTGTATTTGCGATGTGTTGTGAACTTTTGTACCATTTTCTTTTTGTATTATGGGAAGCTAGCACTGAAGATGATATATTCGAAACGCGTTTGCGAAGGCTTTCTATAATACAGTACCTTTATATTTAAAAAAGTTTCACTTATCTAGTCATACATAGGTAGGTATACCTACATATACGGAAAATGCGCCGAAAGCTGGCCGACCACCTACTGCAGATGTGTGTGTGTGGAGGAGCCAGCCTCCAAAGCTCCCATTCTGCAGAGTGAAGTTCCTTCTTTTGTACGTGTCCCGCGTGTCGTAAACGAACTTATCGCCTGGAATCCCTCAGTGGACATATTTACAGACCCAATGGGAAAGTTGAAGAGGGAAGCAGCAAAATTTTCGTCAACTTTGGAAGTCTGCACTTACCTTTAGCTTGTGTCACTTAGTATTGTATCCATGTGTATCCTGTGATGACTGCGTATTCATGTCATTGTAGGTATTTATATGCATGCGCTGACTTCACCTGTCATTGGGTTTTTACCTGTTGGTGATCAATACATCATACAATATTGTGATTTAAGTTGGTCCCTTTGCATAGCCTACATTGCATCCTAATTACTTATCTGTTGTCTAGGGGATTATTATCTTCAATGTTTTACTCTATGTGCTGTCTAGGGGTATTACTGCAATGAAAACAAGATCGATATATGGGTGTGAGTTTCCTCCTCTTCCAACGCCATCCGTCCCATCATCCAACAGACGTGAACAAGAGTTAAAAGTAGATATATTGCAATTAGCCGAAAGGTGATGCTGAAACCGAATCAATGAAGAAGCGATCAAACAAGGCCGAAAATCAGTCCTGCACGAGTTCCCGAGGCAATCGGGCAGGCCGATAATGAAGATCCGAAAGCAGTCCGAAAATCAGTCCTGCAAGAGTTGCTGTCGCACTCGAGCAGGCTGATGTAGAAGAAGCCGGAAGAGTGCCGAAAGAACTGCCTGCAACTGCCAAGTCGTGCCAATGGCCTTTCTCGTCAGCTCCACGACAGCAGGCAGGCTGAAACATAAGTTAGCCAAATAGACCGGACATTTGTGTGCAGTCGTCGAAAAAGGGCCGAAAGGGATAACCAAATGACAAGCCGAAAACGATATACCATAACAGTACATCCACGTACCGGATATTTAGCAAAGTCCGTGTCCGACGGACTTTCTGAAAAAGGAAGGTCAGTTACCTTCGTCCCCATAGTGCAGCGCAGGTCCCCGAGAGCTGGCTGGGGCAGACCGCCCGTTCTCTTATACTTACGTGTGCATGTTGAGGGTAGTGTTGGAGAGTGGATGTTGTTGAGTGTGGTGTGGATTGTGTGAGTGTTTCGCTGCTGCGTCTGGCGCCCGTTTTATACCTCTCCGACAGTCGTTTGCCCTTGGTGTGTGCGTTTTTACACCGGTCTTGCATAAAGGCGTCAGCTCATTATCAGTTGTTAACTGATCATCCTACATTCAGTTTTTCACGTTCCCTGTCTACCACTACGTGCTTAACCCTCGTCGAGTGTTTTTGTTGTGGTGCAAACGGTGGAGGTCAGCGAGATAGGAACCGAGCGGGCCGCCGCCGGTTGGTCGGCCTTAGTCTCCGGGCCGACTGACGGGGCGCTGGAAATAATGTGTTTTCGATGCATTGCGTGCCCGCCGATTAGCCGCAGACGGAAGCGATATTTCTCACAATATCATACATACATGCAACAATTAAAGGGACTATCCCACCTTTAGTACATGGGGTTTGAGTTGAGATAGCCAAGTTTGCGGCGAGGTTCAGAAACCACTATCTATCTAGGTTGCAACCCACGCGGCCTCTTGGTGTTGAAGAAATTCGTTCCCTTCATTTGAAAATGGGCCTTGCGCAAGGCCCTATCTTCAACATGGAGCGACCGTTAGTGTGACGTCACCTCGTTTAGTCATTCTGATTTAAATGGGTTTGTTCGTTGAAAAATCGCTTAAAACTTGGTCTGAACTTTGTTGTGGTGCCTACAGAGTAAAAAGAATCAGCTTTATGACAGTAATGTGGCCTGGGGAAGCAGGTAATTTTGGGCTGTGACGTCACATATTTGAAAGTTTGTGTTTGGAATATGGGAAGCCTAAGATGTTTAATGAAAAATAAATGCCAGAACCGTGTTCCTGGTCATCCAATCTATAAAGTCGGGCACAATTTAACTGGTTTTAACAACATTTTAGAAGGTGGGATAGTCCCTTTAAACGATTATTTGCTAATTGCTTTATGTCTTATGAGCAGGCGGCGGAACACCTTCAATTAAGGGGGGCACTGCCGACTTTTGGTCCCATTCTTTCCATGCAATGCCCATAGGGCTAATGTTAAAATGCCAAAATCAAAGGGGGGCACGGTGCCCCGGTGCCCTCCCCGTTCCGCCGCCTATGAGCGATTAGGTACTTGCTGTCCTTACTTTATGCTTTTGGTTGAGTGTTCAACCAAGTATTATGAACGGGGACGGAGGCAAGCGGGGGGCTTGTGATTGTTTTATAGTTTTGATGGCGCTTTTTCATGACTCATGCCATATTATTGCTGCAGTTTGCAGTCCACTGTTTCATGCATTTGTGTTTGATTTGACGTGTCTGTAGTCGTTTGAAATATACATTCAATCAAAGTCAACCACTACTTTCCTTTCGCAATGCTCGATGACCGGGTAACAGAGCATATGAGTGACCGTAACAATTTTAAATATGCATTGAAACCGCACAACCTGCTGAAAGTGCATTGGCTGCTCCTTGCTACTTGATCCAGTGTGAAGCAAAAGCAAGATGAAGTCAAGTCGAGACTTGAGAAAACAGGAGCCGTCACTCGAGCCGAACCCGAGCAAAGCCACAGCAGTTTGCAATGTATAAACCCCATTCACTTCTATGGCTTAAGTCGGGATAGACAGGGCACACAGAGTGGGCTTGCCGGAGTTCAGCCCGTTCGGGCCCAGAGTAATCTCCATTATATAAATGGATTCACTGCTCGGGCTTAAATCGGGCTAACGCCAATCGTCGCTGAACTAGGGCTAAACTACGGCTGTCCGGAGCTCGCAGAGCGGGCATACCTCCGGCAGAGCATGGGCTTTAGTCGGCGTTTTTGTGTCATACGCCGACTTTAGCCCAAGCCTTAGCCGACTTTAGCCCGACTAAAAATCTCGGGCAATCCGCACTTGAGCCTGCTTGGGCCCGGAGCAAAATTGTTGGCTGGGTATTTCAATCGTAATGTGTTTGGTATTTTGTAGGTATCATAAACCCTCACTAATGTATAAGAGGCTAAGAAATCGGCAAAAAGTTGGTATTTCCCCCATTTTCCCAAGTTGGTTTGGTTTCGGTATTTTCCTGTGGTTTTGGTTGGTATTTGGTTTGGTATCGGTATTCCGATTTTCCGTAATTGACATCAATAGTAAATACCTACTTGCAAAATATGACGGGAAATAAGAATCATTTGAAGTTCAAAGCGTTCTTGATTTTGTAACAGAAGTCACCTTTACCGATTTACTGAGAGGCATAAAAATAATATATTTAGGTCAGTTTGAAGGATAAAAGCAAGCCGTATGTTAAAGGAACGAGTTGAAAATATACGTTGATTATGAATATTTTAACAAAGGCAAAAATTCACCAATATTTAGAGAACAATCAACAAAGTAGCTGAAGAACTATCATTGTAGGTGGCAGCACTATCAAAATATGGCTCCGATTCTGCTGTTTTGGCTGAAAAATCCGCCATTTTGTGAACGCGAAAACTTGAGACTGTGCTGCCCAGCGACTGAGTTTTTACAATTGTGCTTGTTCCTGCGCTTTACAATTCTGCATTATGTGTTTTCTGAACCAAGGTGCTTGAAATGGTGAGCGTGGCGCTCGCTATTTCGCGGTGTCGGCCGTGTGAGCTGATATATGCTATGGACGATTGACGGGTGCTCAGGGAACGCTTGCTATGAGTAAGCTCTCGTTTAGGGCTAGGGCACTCGATGCCTCCAAGCCCATGCCTATTTATTTGTCAGAAGAGCTTCCTGATCTTCCTGAGTACCTCTCCATAAATCGGGCGGTGCCTCAGATGCCGTCTGGAATGGAAAAAGAGGAGGAATCGGTGAGTACACTCGTCCGCCATGTTGTGTTGAAGGTTGCAATGCTGTGCATGCATCACATTGAATTGTGGCAGCTGGAACACCATACCCACCATACTGCAACAATTGGTGAAACTGGATAGAATGTTTGTATGTTGAAATAAATGAGAATGTGCTGGAACAGAATTTGAATGAAAAGGTAAATCACCTGTGTATGTGGCTGTGCACACTTCAGGCAGGTGGTGCACACTTGTAAATTGATATCACGTTACATGCACACAATGTACGTTAATTGATCTATTTGGCCCATAGTACTCTCGCTTTATCGAGCTCCTAGTCTGACCATACTTTAAGCGGTGATCTGAATATTGTGTAAACTTGGCATTGCAATTGTAGCGATTCATCCTTAATTGGTCTTGCTGTTGCTAAAATGTGGGGTATTGTTAAATAAATGTCCCCACTCCCAGTGTTAATACTAAATAAGTTACATGACCATTATATTTATTTTGACCATCAGGTGGGATCAAGATAGGTACTTCAGGTAGCCAGGAGCTATTATGGTCATTATGTAGTGCCTACTGTAAGTGCCTAAGTGCAGGCCTCAGGAGGGAATTCCTTAGGGTGCTGGTGCTTCATCACAGTAGGTGACCTGAACATCAGTAGTAAAATAGAATAGTTATACTAGCAGCCCTCACCTGACAGGCACTAGGATGTTTATTTTACACATGTTGGAGACTGAGACAGATGCTAACTAAACCAGCTGAGACAGCAGGCCACCAATTGAATCACCAAAATAGCAAACCACAAACCAATTTCACTGAAAAGCAGGCCACCAAATTCACCCAAACAGAAGCCTTTCAGTGGGTTTACACACTTAACAGCACCAGTTGGACTGGGGCAAAGGACCAGCTGCTTGGAACAAGGGGGAGGGACCAGCTGGTTGTGGAAAACGACAGGCAGGCTGAGGATACTGATGGGCTTCGACGGTCGACAAGCTCCGGAACTGGCGGGCTGGGACGAGATTCTGGCTGTTGGACCGGGGACGTGTCGTGTCCCGCGATCGGCGGCTTAAATTGCTAATGGAAAAACAGCGGTATTGCACGGAGTATGCTCGGATAAACCCAAGGGAAGGCACAAATTGCTGCCCACAACAAAAACTTATTGATTTGCCTGACCAATCTGCCCGGATAAATTCGAAAGTAGGTAACTGAGCAGGGGGGGGGGGGGTGGGGGGTGGTTTAAGTTGTAACGGAGGAACGAACCACTTATGTTGAGGAAATAATTCGGTCAATTACACTCAAGTGTTATAGTCCTTTTCTCCCTTATGAATATTGCTACGGCATTTCGGTTCGGCCCGGAAGAAGAGGCAGTGCCGACCTATTGATGTTACTACTTACTATAGTCTGTTTTTATTCTTAAGGTACGTTTTCAGCTCCAAGTATGTTTTCAACTAAGCACGCGTTTTAAACAGCGAAACGGGCAAAAACCTAACCTGAGAAAATCGAACGTCGCCTAATTCTAACGTGATTTCTCCCCGATAATCTCCATAGGTGCGTTTGGCAGATAGCTATTAGAACACAGGTAATGTCATTCTGTGGAGCTTGCATTGCATTCTGTGGAGCTTGTAATGTAGGGACATAGGTAGTAGGTACCATTGACAGAACCACTTAATAGATTCGGTCGTCAGTAATAGTGAAAAATGAAGTTTTCCCCATAGAGATCTTATATACATAGAGATGACACGCCTATGTTAAAGCACTTGATTTCGTGGCGATTCAGTGGGTCTTTTTAAGCAAGGTTTTCTGGGGTGCCATGGCCCGTGACTTGCATTTTGTAAGGATTCGGTCAAGGAGATTGTGTTCACATCCGCTTATTTTTAAGTACAGTTTTTCTTTTTTGTCTAGCTGTGACGCTTTCGAGCGTTATAATTGAAATGAAATTAGGTATGTTTTAACCTTATGCTCGTATCAGGTACTGCATGTATCATTAACCCTCGCCGTCCGACGGGGGGGGGGGGGGCGGGTGCCGCCTCCCTATAGGGTTTTTCACGATAGCTCCGAACACGAAGGCGATAGAGAGCTGAAACTTGGCATACTTGACCTTTGATCCAAGCCGCATCTTGTGACACCAACCGCATTTTCAGGTCAGGTCATTGACCTGTGACGTCATAAGTGAACCTCTGCACAGTCCTCAGATGTCGCAACTTCGCAACGCCGTCAGTGCCAGAGGAACTTTCACAGGGAGATGAAACTTACAGGATGTAGTATCATCCAGAGCTCTC